GAACTGCCGTGTGCAGAGGAGTCTTACAGTCCAATGGACCTCTATACATAAGATCCGGTCGAACAAGTCCACCGGGGGGTCTTGATGTCCAAATTTCACCTGGCTGAAATAAAGGAGATGGGGAGCTTTATTCAGAAGTTTGATCGATAATGAAGCCAATTCGAATATTTTGTATACCTCAATCCATTGTGTAAATTCATTTGTTTATTAACATACTGCTACTTTACAGAATGGAATCAATAAACAATCAATAAATATTTTGCTATATTTATTTAAGCCCACATGAGTATAAATCTATAAATTGCAGCTGCTCAATCCCAATTCAGTTACTTTGGGAGCGAGACAAGCCTAGTTGTATGCTTCTTTGACATGTCAAAAAACTGTAATTTGGCCACCTTCGCAGGACAGATGACATCTGACCTCATAAGTGAAAACCATACTTTTCCAGTGTTGTGACCAGAAACGTTAATGGTTCCCAACTCATTACAGAAATGCATGAACACTGTAAAAACAATGTTTAGCCCCTAATCACATTTCTAAGCGCCTGTTTTGTCGCCTGTTTTGTCTCATTTTTTAACGCGTTTAGCTACTAAGCACGTTTAGCTCCTAAGTGTGTTTTTAGCCTGAATGTGTTTAGCAGTATGACGCCTTTAGGTGCTAAATATATGTGTATATGTCTAGCTTTAAGGCGCTGAGGGTTAGGATAGAGCATGCGCAGTGATATGGTGATTCCAGTTGCTGATGCTTTAGCCAGTGGTTTGAAAGACAACAAGAGAAATTCAAATATGAGGGTTAAAAGCAGTTTTTGAGGCAAATGGAAGCAAAAAGTCCACAATACACTACACAGGCAGTATCCCCACAAGCAGATAGAAAAAATTATACAAGCTGAAATTGAAATAAAGACCTATTAACAAACTCCCACTGAAGGAGTAAAAAAAATAAAAAGACAGCTCTCGATTTATGAGCAAAGGAAAAAAGAAACTGTATAAGTGAAAGAGTCTAATAATGAAAATGCATCTACTGTAATATTTCTCTGAACGTTAGCTAATAAGGCATGTATCCCAAGGATAATGATAAATTGAAAAAACGCTTTTCATTTCTATTATTAATAACATTTGAATATGTCATCAAGTCTACTTTGATAAAAAAAACTTACCTCATGACATGACATCACATCAAATACTCTTACACGCTGAAACTGCCCAGTTGGATTGCTTTCCTCGGTTCCTAGTGAGATATCGTTCGACGTATTCATCTTGCACGGACCTGCTGCGAAAATCCACTGGTTAATTTGTACATCATTATATGTTTATTTTCTCAGTTAAAGAAGAGCTAAACTATGAGTTATTAACTTTCTGACATTTTGTTTTCTAACAGCGTAGAACCTTCTTATTAAGGGAAAGGGGCTACAGCTGAGCTTCTGGCTAAAAATGCAGTCTAGTATTAGTGTGATTATTAGTAGAGGCTGTAATTATGTGTATGTCACAGGCAAGACTGAAATCCAGGCGAGATTCAAATCCAGGTCACAGCTACATAAATCACATCCCAAATATAGCCATAAATATATATATATATATATATATATATATATATAAACATCACAAATGTATATTATACATGTACATCTCTAAAATACCTCCCATTTCCATGTTTTTCTACTTGTTTGCTGAGCTTGAGAAGTATTTAATAAAAGAAGTTCATATCCCAAATATAGCCATTTACTTTATAGAACCTATGGCTTAGAACTTCTTTTATTAAATACTTCTCAAGCAAAGCAAACAGGTAGAAAAACATGGAAATGGGAGGTATTTTAGAGATGTACATGTATAATATACATTTGTGATGTTTATATATATATATATATATATATATATATATATTTATGGCTATATTTGGGATGTGATTTATGTAGCTGTGACCTGGATTTGAATCTCGCCTGGATTTCAGTCTTGCCTGTGACATACACATAATTACAGCCTCTACTAATAATCACACTAATACTAGACTGCATTTTTAGCCAGAAGCTCAGCTGTAGCCCCTTTCCCTTAATAAGAAGGTTCTACGCTGTTAGAAAACAAAATGTCAGAAAGTTAATAACTCATAGTTTAGCTCTTCTTTAACTGAGAAAATAAACATATAATGATGTACAAATTAACCAGTGGATTTTCGCAGCAGGTCCGTGCAAGATGAATACGTCGAACGATATCTCACTAGGAACCGAGGAAAGCAATCCAACTGGGCAGTTTCAGCGTGTAAGAGTATTTGATGTGATGTCATGTCATGAGGTAAGTTTTTTTTATCAAAGTAGACTTGATGACATATTCAAATGTTATTAATAATAGAAATGAAAAGCGTTTTTTCAATTTATCATTATCCTTGGGATACATGCCTTATTAGCTAACGTTCAGAGAAATATTACAGTAGATGCATTTTCATTATTAGACTCTTTCACTTATACAGTTTCTTTTTTCCTTTGCTCATAAATCGAGAGCTGTCTTTTTATTTTTTTTACTCCTTCAGTGGGAGTTTGTTAATAGGTCTTTATTTCAATTTCAGCTTGTATAATTTTTTCTATCTGCTTGTGGGGATACTGCCTGTGTAGTGTATTGTGGACTTTTTGCTTCCATTTGCCTCAAAAACTGCTTTTAACCCTCATATTTGAATTTCTCTTGTTGTCTTTCAAACCACTGGCTAAAGCATCAGCAACTGGAATCACCATATCACTGCGCATGCTCTATCCTAACCCTCAGCGCCTTAAAGCTAGACATATACACATATATTTAGCACCTAAAGGCGTCATACTGCTAAACACATTCAGGCTAAAAACACACTTAGGAGCTAAACGTGCTTAGTAGCTAAACGCGTTAAAAAATGAGACAAAACAGGCGACAAAACAGGCGCTTAGAAATGTGATTAGGGGCTAAACATTGTTTTTACAGTGTTCATGCATTTCTGTAATGAGTTGGGAACCATTAACGTTTCTGGTCACAACACTGGAAAAGTATGGTTTTCACTTATGAGGTCAGATGTCATCTGTCCTGCGAAGGTGGCCAAATTACAGTTTTTTGACATGTCAAAGAAGCATACAACTAGGCTTGTCTCGCTCCCAAAGTAACTGAATTGGGATTGAGCAGCTGCAATTTATAGATTTATACTCATGTGGGCTTAAATAAATATAGCAAAATATTTATTGATTGTTTATTGATTCCATTCTGTAAAGTAGCAGTATGTTAATAAACAAATGAATTTACACAATGGATTGAGGTATACAAAATATTCGAATTGGCTTCATTATCGATCAAACTTCTGAATAAAGCTCCCCATCTCCTTTATTTCAGCCAGGTGAAATTTGGACATCAAGACCCCCCGGTGGACTTGTTCGACCGGATCTTATGTATAGAGGTCCATTGGACTGTAAGACTCCTCTGCACACGGCAGTTCAATAGTGAGTTTATAGATAGATAGATAGATATACTTCCCTACCAAAAAAGGTGCCACCTACAATGTGCAAAATGATCCAGAAAAAAGTATCATTAACCAATAAGATTTTACTGGTTGTACAGAGCGATGGTGTTCCACATACTTTGCAAAGATAGAATGAAATAATTTCTGTTTGCAGAGTTTTCACACGGCGTTCCACTTCAAGTGTATCCCACACCTCTTCAATGGTCTTCTGATCTAGGGATTGGTGGAGCTGGTTCACATGTAACTAGCCTTTTGGTGTATTGGCTGTATGTAGAGAATCATTCTGAATATACCTGCATGGTCTTGGTCACTAAAGATATTCTCGACAAAAATTTTTTAATTTCTTTTCCAGTACTAGAATGTATTAATCTGCTTTTAGGTTCCAGTTGACAATCACCGGCATAAANTCTTGCCTTTGACATGTACATGTATAACTTTCACCCTTGTTTTTACTTGTTAGACCCTGGAATATTGGAGCCGTATTTAATGTGATTTTGAAACTGTTATAGGCCCTACTCTTTGACATTTCTCAGTCAAACAAGATGCAGCAACAACAAAAATAACATTAATTAATAATAACAATAATATAAGCAATAGTGCAGATTTGTTTGTGAGAACCTTTGAGGACTCTTTGAATTGAGAAAAATTAGATTATAAAAATATCTAAGCCAATGGGTCATTATTCTGTAGCCCCAAATTATTAGATCGATATCAGACTCTTATATTGCGTCACATTATAAGTATAAAATATGCTGCTAAGGGGACGTAAGAAAGAGTATGGTATGAATTTATCTCAGTTGCCTTTTTACTAAGGCTCTTGATCAAAAGTATATTCCAACAAAAACAACTTGTTATGCAGTATGCAATTAATTTGTGCAAATCCCTAAATAACAAGGTAATACAGACCAGGGGATTTTTTCATGTCGATCGATTAAATAGCTTTTGCGCAGTTTAAAAAACTTGCTGAACCTCCAATTTATTGTGTAAAAACACTTAATAGGAGAGGTAAACTGCATAAAAATAATACAAATAAACAATATTTAGGCCACTGAGCCGTTCCTTGTTTCATTTCAACTGTGCAAGATCGCAAATTTAAATAAAATCAACAGGGCATACAAGTAGACTTACTGTAATTAAATGAGTGTTATATTTTTTGTTTAAGATTACCATTATTAATAAAAGGCTTCATTCAGATACAGATTGAGATAACAAGAAAGGTAATTACTTGTCGAACTTGGCCAATGACTGTTAAATTCTACATTTGTCAGCCATTTGCATAACAGATTGCTTAAGAAAATATTTATATTAAGATTTTTCAAGAAACCCCATTAGTATAATAATTGTGTTCGTATATAATGCTCATAAAATGGACTGTATGCATTGAATCCTAATAGTTCTAGAGGCACAATTTTGTACGCAGTGTGTTGATGTTTAAACCACTCTGATATTACAAAGTACTCACCTCATACAGATAACCTCTTAAGTAGGCCCACGTCATTAAAGAGTGCGCATGCTCAATGATCACAATAGAAAAATTCGTATATACGTGTTTGTAACAGGTAAGCTAAGTCTGTGCTAGGTATTAAACTGTAAGGACAGAACTATCTAATTTATTTAGCTTTTAATAATAGTAAAAAGTAACAAGAAAAGTATCAAAGCTATTTACGTATACTGTATATGTTATACAGACCACAGAGTTTAAAGCGGACTTACTGAAAAGTTAGTGTATTGTTCCAATAGAACCTGACCCAACCCGCGATCATTTGACATTGGTAATCATACTATGAATGTACTTCAGAAGACGGTTGGATCAATTCTAACCTTGATGTATTTGATTATTTCGTTTATAGATTTCGGATGTGGGATTATTTGAAAACCTTAGTCCTTTTCTGCACCATGCCAGGTAATTCGCAGTCATTGACTGCATTGACTGCATAAACATAAATGAATAAACATGTATCAGGCCCGTAGCCAGGGGGGGGGGGGGTTCGGGGGGTTCGGAAGAACCGCCCTATTTGCTGGGAAAATGTCCACTCTGGGTGAAATTTGATCTAGGTACATGAAGTTTTTATGGAAAAAGGTCCACTTTTTCAGAAAAAGAACCCCCCTTTTGAAATTGCTGGCTACGGGCCTGCGTATAATGTTTACGTTTGTTTTAACTGAAACCTGATGTTCTCCAGATATTGCTGATGTCTTATTGACTAGAATCAATATCTTCGCCATTATGTGTATTTTCATACATAATTTGTCATCAGTTTTTTCGATATATATATGCTTGTTATAGTGACCCATGTTTCTGAACATCGAGGAAGAGTAATACGACCAACAACCAATGGAAGTCTCCGTCTTAAATTTAAGGAAATACGCTCTGTCAGTCTATTTTGAAGTTCATGGACATGTATATAGTTTCGTTAGTATAAGAATTATAACGAAAAAAAAAATTAATTTCTTTAATTATATAAGTTTTTGTTTATTATTTAACGTTCAGTTTTGAAGGTATTGACTTTGTCTTTGTCTGCCTATATAAGTTCCACAACCTGTCACTGAACACACAGTTCCGTGTGGATCGCATGTTCATTGCATAGAAAGCACAGAAACGAAAGACAGCACCAGGAGAGGGGGCACCAACAGGGAAGAGGATGGCACTACGGAGAAAGATTCCGACGAGCAGGAGACTCATGTATTAAACTCAGACCAGAGTGAAGAACTTTCAAAAGCAGGAAAATTGACAGAAATGTGCACTAGTGTTTGATAATCATTACGGTGTATACATATGTAGAACTTTCACAGCTTCACAAGTATGATCTTTTCAGAACAAAAAAGTTAAGTTTTCCCCACTGTAATTTCCTTGTCTATTCTATTTAATTCAAAAGCTATTTGTGAAGTTGGAGCATTGTGTACACCAAGAACAGACCATAATGATGGACAAGAAAGTGCCACGTCGAACGGTTTGGAGGTCGAAGAATTTCAAAGAATTAAGGTTGAAGCATGGGAAAATATTTTGACGGAAGGTAAACTGAAACAGTTAAAATTGTGGTCATGGAAAAGAAATATTAAAATAGATGAAAAAATTGTTATACTCACCTGGATAAAAGGCTAAGCATTTTTACATTAAATTTTGAGCGACAGAATTTGTATTTGACACGATTTCAAACATGGTTTCAAGTTCTGATAAAATCTATCAACCTGAGAGGTTAAATCATTGCCATAAGTTTTATTTAATGCACTAATGCAAGATAAAAATCAAATTTTAGAAATGTCGTGATACGGACAATAATATATATTGATTTTTCAGAAATGGTTCAAAAGATGATATCAGAACTAGGGGACGGCTTTGTAGATGAATTAAAAGATCCACTAGAACTACAAAAGGTGAAAGAAGAGGCTAAAACCGTGGTTAGATACTGGCTACGACAGCGAGAAGGGGTTCCCTTTTTGCAATTACAAGATTTGTTCATTGATTGCAAAGAGGCGCAGTACAACATTAAGAAACAAGAGTAATTGAATGAATGTTTGATATTCGTAATTGCAGTGAATATAGTCAGAATAGACGTTCTGTTTCTTGCACTTAGTATTTTCAAAAAGTTTATTCATTCCCGAGTTCAGGTTAAGGAAATGTCTGAAAGGCAAATATCAATTATACAAAAACAATCACTTTTTTGTACAGATTTTGCTTATAATCAATGCAATAAGCATTATTTTATATGATGATATAGAAATCTCATACTCATGTCAGTGAATTAAAATATAACGTGAATGACATGGACGTTATCAGATATGTGCATCTGTCGAACGCAATACTCAATGCTAAAAAGCTTCTGTTACTTCGGTTGTTATTGTAGGGTTGCTCATTAAAAATTTAAGAATAAATAGTATTGAGACACACTGTACGTTTGCGATATTGTGAATCAAGAAAACTTTGAACCTCCAGAATAGAAAAAACAGTATGAGACAAGAATGTTTTATGCGTCCCACAGACAATACTATATGGTAATTGGATTGAAGTCAACGTTACGTTCTCAACTGTCTATTTAAGCGCCACACAAAACCTTTGAATATTTTTTAAATGACGTTTGTGATCAAAATTCGGCATTTTTGGCGATTATTTAATTTTTTGATAATGTACGATACACTATTCCTGTCATGTATTTTGACAATAGTGATTAAATTTATTTGATTATCTGTTTGTTATAACATAGACTGTATCTTATATAATTAGTGGTCGGACATTTATAATATCAAAAATATTTAATAACGTTTCAACCGAAACGGTCTCTGACTACACAGGCGGTTAGTTCTATCGTGAATATAAAGATTTTTACGCATTAAATTCAAGTTATCTACCCCTGACTGAAATATAAAGATTATCAGACATATGGTACATGTACAAACAAAACTGAAGACACGTGGCTTATCAATATATGTATTTTGTCAGTAAGACGTAAATTTTAATGGATCCCCCACGTTTACGCTCCATTAAAAAAATTGCAAATCCTTCAAATCTAGAGCCTGATGTGTGCAGCTTATGGATTTTGTGCCAAAGGTTGTTCAGAGAGTCACGAAATGTTGACGATAAGCTCAAAATATCTACATATCAATATATTTTAATTAATCACAGGCATATGCTGCAAACACAAATGAAAAACAAATTGTTTTTTTTTTTTCAAAATGTAGCCGTCTTGGCACATGTGCCTTAACAGCTGTCTGCATCAGCCAGGTCACGCTGGCGCCATAATCTGCCGCCTTTTAGAGACGAGTTTATATTATCGTTTCGTGGTTTAAATCCTCCAACTGAACGTATTTCCCACGATGCTTTACCTCGTGAGGCACCGTTAAGTGCAAATTGGTAAAAGAGGGCCACTGCAAGTCAATTGTCCCAATACTTCCAAAAGCGCTAAGGTAATCCATTCCGTCAGATAACGCGTCCACGTTATGTTCATGCCCCTCGAGGGGTTCTTTCTCGTCATTATCGGCAAATTCATCATGTACTGATTTCGGATCCTCGTCGACATCGTTCCGTGCGCACCCGCATGGACAACAGAAGCACCACGTCCATTTTGGCACATCGTCTTCTAAGGCTTGCCCCTTTGTTTCTGGCAGGAACCATCCGGTAATTGCCGCTCCTATTGCGAAGACTCCGCCAATGATGAACGGATATCTTCTGTCGAGTTTTGACTAAAAAGAAAACAATTTCAAACAATTCTTTTTGTTAACAAATCAGCATGTAAGCTCTTTTTGAGGAGTTTTTTTTCTTGGTGCTTGAGTTTGTCCGTGACAGGCTTTTTTCTTCAGATTGACATTTTGTTGCGAACCGACCGAGTGGGGTCTAGCTTGTGTACGCCAACAAATTAAAATACGTTTTAAATAAAGTCTGAGATGAGAAACCCTCTCAGGGTCCATATAAATGTATACGCATATGTACTATAGCAGAAATGAAACTGATTAAGGGCAACACACGAGTGTTACTTACTAGATATACCAACTGAGGTGCTACTATGGATCCAAGCCGACTTCCTCCCATCGCTACGGCCACACCTATATCTCTGAAATCAAGGTCCAAGATATGTCTCAGTGCCGTAAACATCACACACACACACACATGCTACACTCGAGAATCAAATCTAGGCAACGCTCCATGAGGGGATTAAAATGTGTAAACGTAGCACTTAACTGGAACTCCAGTATAATTTATTTCTTTTCTGTATATACCTAATAGGAGTTGGCAGCAGCTCTGATGAGATAATCATAGCAGCTGTCCAGCCTGTCAGAACACACGTCCGACCCAGTGTGGACACCAAGGCCACCGCCAGCCACGCCGTCTCATATACACCTGCAAATGTTAAACCATTAAATCTTGTTGTCAAGAAATGAAATGTAAAGATACATATACAGTATATAAGAAGCGAGGGACAATGCATAGTGCAATGTTGGTGCATGCGTGTGATTTTGCACTAGTTTTTTTTTTTTACACAAAACAGGAAGCCCCCCCCAAGAATAAATAAATAAATAAATAAATAAATAAATAAATAAATAAAACTAAAAAGAAAAACCAACCGAAATTAATCTCTGTTGTCTATCATTAGGTTATCCCACTTGAAGCTTTGTGATGGTATTTTGTAGGGTTTCGTGGCATTGATTTGATATAAATATTTTTTAAGTATGCATCTTTAAAGCCTCTTGTTTGAGATATGCGATATCGGTACCTTATAAATTTGTAAAAATGAACATTTTTTGGACGGAACATTATGAATACATGCCAGTTTTCTGGAATAGGGAGAGGTAATAGTCTTGGCAAATATGATTTTGAGAAAAAAATAAAGAAATACAATATAAAGGAAACCACTGCAAGGAATGTTTGTCCCGATATTAAATCGATTGATAATTTACAATTCTTCTTACCAAACACGTCAAGCAAGATGACAGAGAGCGTTAGGACCCCGCCCAGTGCTGTCAAGCCAATAAATGTCCACCGGCGTCCTAGACTGAAAATAGACAGGATCAAGTCATACCCATCACTAGGGACAAGGACTTTCGGAGATGGACAAAACCCAGTGAACCAATTATTTTTAATTTTAGTAAAAAGTTATAAATTATTACAGAACGATTTGGCATTTTGAGAACTATTACCTGTATGTTGGAACCCTTCTTACCAGTTATTGAGATATATGGAGAATAGGCTAGTAGGATAACCTATTCCAAACCCTATTGCGAAGTTAATCGCCTTGCCTCCGGGGAGATTTTTCACGTTGAACCCCATGGTATATACGAAAAGGGCCATGCTGAACCTGAATTGTGAAATAAGTAAGGCCATAATGAGCAAAAAAGAACATTTATACATTGCGTTAACCACATATTCAACATTTGCCAAAATGTTCTATAAATATCGCTGTGTGTGTGTGTGTTACGCGCGCGCGTGCGTGTGTTAACAAGATTTCGATTGTGATTTGGTGGTGCTAAGGAGTTTTTAAACTAAAACCGTTTAAAGGGTGTTCAAGCCAAATTGCACACACTCCATCTTGTCACTGGGCAGTGAAAAAAAATTCAACATTGTGAAAAAACAGATATTTTGAACGCGGTCACTCACATAATGTATGTTAACATCACGATCAGCCTGGATTGTCTAGGGGTGCGAAATAAATCATGGATTCTATAATCGCGTGCCTTGGCCTGGTTCTTATTGGCCTGGAAGTAAATGAGAAATAATTCATTAAAGATCACTTTCAAGGCTTTGACGGAGGTTTACATCTTAAAAGTCATGTCAGATCTGACCTCCCATTTACATGAATTAGTTGTCCAAACCTAACTTTCTATTTCTGTACAATGTAGTTGTTTCACTTTTTGTTCTATCTGACGAAAGAATATCCAACTTTTAACGTACAAAACACTCATTTAAAGTAAGTAGTGTTTCTGTAGCACTCAACCCTTGTAATTGTACTCACCTCATAATTTGCGACAAATTCTGCAAAGTCTGGCATTTCCTTTTTATTCCTCCTGGCTATTCTCTGCATGATTTCCTCTGCCTCTTTGTACCGACCTCTTGTAACCAGCCATCGGGGGCTTTCGGGAATATAACTGGAAAATAGAAAGAAAATCTCTCATCAACCAATGATTAACCACGGGCGAGTTGAAAACTGTGTATGTGTATCCTGCTTACATTCAATATTACTCTTCTCTGTTATTTTAGTTTTTGTACATAGTGCTGATCTTTGGATGTTATATGTAGTTTGAATCAATATAATATTGTGCGATTGTATGCCACAAGTATTTTTAGATGTTGCATATAATTTTCTCATTTATTATTGAATAATTTACTGAAAAGAAATTACCAACAGACACACTGTCAAAAGGAATTTGTTAAAAAGTGATACCGGAGAGTTGAATAACTCATTAATTATAATCAGAAAAGCCATGCTTCAAGTAAAAATTATGTTTTTGAAATGTATTATCATTGATCAACAAAACAAAAACTTACCAAAAAAAATCTGCAGTATAAAGCTGTTAACAACAATTTCAAACGCATGTTGATGCATGTGGAATAAGGTTTTGTCAAGGTTCCCGATCCCCTCAAAATAAATAAATAAATAAATAAATAAATAAATAAATAAATAAATAAATAAATACACAAAAAAGCTCTTACAACCAAAACAGTAGCAGGGCCAGTCCGGGCAATGTGGTGGCTAACATAATCTGTTTCCAGTCCTTAATAGTAAAGCCGAACGCCGCCAGTGCACCCAAGCCGACAGGCCACAATCCTATGGATCCGGTAAACGCACGCCACCGGATTCCAATGAACTCCATGGGGTATACAAATCCAACCACTATGGTGCCTGTGAAACAAAAGGATATATGTGTGAATGAGGTTTCAAGATGAAAGTATTGGTGGTATACTGGTATAGGGCAATTTCTCACGGTATTTTAGCAAGATATGACTGACTTGGCGGAATTTCGAGATGTGGCAAATTTGGTGTAATATCGGGGCATGACCTGCTTTTTCAGTATTCTGGGACATGACAGTTTAAACAAAAATAAATATGTATACATTCTGATATAGAGATTCTGGTATATTCTGATATTGGGACTGTGATATACTGTAGAAAGTTTCTTGAACTTGTCTTTCTCGTATCTTTCGCTCTGAACTTTACCAATCTCATACAGCAATGATTTTTTTAAATTTAATTAGAAGCACAGGCGTCACCACTTTTGATCTCAAGTTCTGTCTGCCATCCCCATTTATTCTAATGTAAGGGAGTATATGTCCAGATTTCTTGTTGACCTACCTCCAAGACTTATGCCCGTGATAAGCCTCAGTATGGCAAACACATACCACGTTGGAGCATATATCTGGGCAAATCCGGTCAAACACATAAGAAGAATACCACCGAACCACGCCTTCTTGCGACCAAACGAGTCCGCCAGTTGTCCGTAAATGAAGGAGCCAAAAAACACCCCGATCATCTGCAGGGAGGTGATCTGGTCACTCACTGGGGCCAAGTTGCAGACAAGATTCCACTGAAATAAAATTGATATAAATTTAATTAACAGTACGTCATGTTCTCAATATCTACTTTTTATTCCTGTCAATGTCATTAAAGACTGAGTACAAGTGCATTGCTTGCGTTTGTATAGAAATTACGTGAAATTACGCGTCCTTTTCATCTGAAGGTGCATACAACGTTATTTTTTTACGGTTTTAAAGCTGATTTAAAGCTCACAAATGAAAAAGATTGCGTTTTAACTAATTGATAGATTATTAACATTGCCATTCATAAATTGTTGATTTTTTGTTTATTTAAAAATGAAGACCCATTTATCCATTTTTCATTTTTTTTTCTTTATTTTCTTTGGGGGCATAAATAAGGACAACTTAACCAAGACGCGTACAAACTACCTTTACAAACCTCTGTAACGATTGTCGATGATTCTGAAGTGAATTCAATTCCTGGACAGACTTGGTTATCTGCAGTGCAAGTATTATACGTGTACATGTCACTAGAATTTTTGGTAACATTTGACACATTTGACAGTGTGCCATCACTGACAATGTTGACATTGGAGCTGACATCGTACAGTAAAGAGTCAAAAAGCGTGGTGGAATTGTCCGTCAAATAGTCGTCTGCAGCGGAAGTGACGTTGGTGCGCGCGATTGGACACCTCCAACTGGCGTCGTCCCCCGTGAAGATAAGAGATAACATTGCCCAAGACACCGGGATATCAGAGAGTGAGATTATGAGGAACAGGCTCAGCTGATACCAGCCCATCTGACCTGAAATGCAATTCAACTAAATTTAGCAGATATGCCCTCAATTATATCTTTATCCTGCTTAACCTATACGCACTTGTACCATGCAAATATGTTCAACATACTTGTACTGTACAAGGGTATGACAATTTTAATAACATTTTTGTAATAACATGAAGAATGTATATATAGACATATCTTTGTCAATGTGTGAAACTCTGCATTCATTTCATCGAAATGCACAGCTGCAAAATAAAAAAGAAGTTGAAGACACATGTTGTTGATCTACCTTAGCAAATAATCAGAGGGGAGTAATATAGGCCTAGTTTGCACCTTTCGACCACCTCTTTCAAGGACAGCAGCAAGGTTTTTTAAAACCCTTGTAGGCCTAACAGGCCTAACGCGCCTCGGTCTGTATTGGATATATTACTAGTATTGTTGTCACGGGAAAAAAATTCTATCGACTTCATTTAGCTAAAATCGATAATTATTAAATGTTACATGCTGTCATCAAGGTTTTATTTGGGTAATGTTACAGTGTGCATGAAAAGGTAATTTTGCTGTTCTTGAAAAACTGGCAGAATGGTACATTTTCGAACCAAGGGTCGCCACTTATTTATTAAATTGTATAATGATGAAGAGTGTATATTGGTACTACAGCACCCTTGCTATATTTCATATACCGTTTACATCCATTACAACTTCAACTTGCAACTGAAAGAAGTGCTATTTGACACTATGATTATACCCAAAGCCAATTATGGCCTCGATATTTGGGGGTTTACGTCATTTTGGACAAGTCTCCTGTGGAAAAGGTACACCTTTGTTGTTGCACACAGCTGTCACCGGTAAGTCTACACAGACTTACCGGTGGAGAGCTTGGGCTTGGACGTTTCATCAAAACACAAACAAAATTGTACATGTTGTGGAGTAAAACTGTTGACTTAAATGAAGGTGTTTTACTATGTGAAACAAGCCAATCTTAACGATTCACAGAATAATAACCTTCTTAACATAAACAATAACCATTTATCGTGGAGTGGGGTCTTGAAAAAGATTTCGTGGGAAATGGCTATTTGAAGATGTCTGGTTTTAGCAGAAAATGTTCAAAATACAAAAGGCAGAGGAAAAAATGGAATTATTTAAGAGGCGTTAGTTGATAGTTATAAACAGTCATGACACCAAAGCATAAGCTGTAAAATAGTATTGCCAATTAAAACCAAAATGAAATCTACCTAGTTACCTTTAAGCTGGGACTGGACTCAAACAGGGTTAAAAATCACGTTTTTATAGATAAAATCAATAGTAAATTTTTTAACAAAAAACCCCGACCCCCTTTTGTAGTACTTCGTTCAAGTGTTATAATACCATTAAAAGCATTTTTATAGCTGTCCAGGTGCCTGAGAAAATCAGGAAACCGAAAATGTTTTTGCATCAAAAACTCTCAACATTACGTCACACGTCGAACTTGGAGCTGTGTTTCATTCACCACAATTAGATGTGTTGAAGATACATTAAATGAATGCAACAGGAATAAAAAAGCTAAGGCCTTTCATTTAAGATGAAATCTCCAACCTGCAGTCCTACCTTAAAATCAGCAATAAATGTAATACTTTGACAATACTGACTGAGATTCTAGCTCCTCTGTCCAGCTAACGGTGAACTATCATAAGGTAGGCAAACTCCATTTGAAATGTTAAAATGCCAGTGCAAGCTTTAGATGAATAAATTTTACAATCCTAATAACATAAAAACAAACTATAGGCCTTGTCGGTGAAGGAAACTCTTGTTAGGGCATTTTGTTTGTGTTTTGGAAAATCATCATTTTACAAGCCTAACCAAATGATGTGAAAAAAAGTCAGATATGTGTTAAGCATCAACTCCTACCATAGAAACAACTGTGTATCAAAACATTTGAGATTCAGCCAGCTCTTTACAATACAGGTATACACATGCATATACATGTAGTTACTAACGCTTTTTCTGCGTTTCCAGATTTACAGGCCTAAATAATACTCATGGCTCACCAGAAATGTCCTTTTTGACCTATTTGCCTCTAAGAACACCTGTTCTCCAGGTTAAGGTCATTATTTACCCCACCCTGCTACTATGACAATTTCAGGCAACAATGGTTATTCAAATGCACAGCGCATTTTCGTATTGACGTTGCAAAGAAGGTCATTTTGCGTTAAAAGGGATAACAAATCTTATGGGATCTACATTTCACAATTAATACATTGTAATATATGGTAATATTATAAATTCTATTTTACTACCAAAGCGGCGGTTATGGCAATTATTCTGAAATTTGTGCTTACCGTCGGACCACGTAACCTCTAAATACGGCTACTCTCTGTAATAATCTTTTAAGAGATTATTACAGAAAACTTAACTTTTTAGAAAAAAAAAGCAGAGGAACTTTGAATGTTGAAACGGATTCATTTTACTACTTAAGTGTGGGGAAATTGTCGTTAACCCCAGAAAATAATTCTTTTGGCCCAAATGAGCAGTTGTTTTCCCTGTAAGAATATCACGAAAACAAATGTGGATTCTTTTGCGACAAAATGGCTATTACAATATTTCATCTGGCAATTTTATCAACTTGGGTCATTCATAGTTAGCCTGCACTGGTTCAGTAGTAATTGGCAAGAAAATTCCAATCTAATTTATTTTTTCACATACCCACTTTGGCCAAAACGTGCTCCAAGTCTGTCATTTTGTTGTCAGCTTCCTTCTCTTCATCTTCTTCCTCCTTCTTACGACATGATCCACAGCATCTTTTGCTTAGCCTCTTCAGCTTTTCCATGGTGTTAGCAATATACTCCTTGTGCACTGGAAATAATTACACCTGCATCGTCCTTGTCTTGGGGAGTTTCAAAGAGATGTGCCTTATACGAACCACTGTTTATCTTTATCGTATCATCCCTGCACTGACGAATTACGCAGTTGAACTTTCCATACTGTATGTATCTGGTTACAGAAGTTTATATAATCTGTCTTATGTAAACTCCCATGCACGTGGGTAAGTCGTATGTCGAGTTCAATGAAAGATGCCGTCTTCTGTTTATTTGTCAAAGGTTATCTTAAGGCTGCGCTTTCAAAACTGTGTCCAAGGTCGGGCTGATAGCGATGTGACAAACTCTGTGCTGCGTGTCTCATGAACATAAATCCGGGTGGTCTCCACACTGGTCAAGTCCCCCCTGACGTAACGCTGCACTGACCCATAGTATATCAAATCTAAATTGACAAAGGACTCACTTAACACTCGAGTGTGGGTTCCACGACAAGGATTAACTCAAGTCTGTCAATGCACCTTAAGTGCTTGTTGAAGGATGGAGTTCGCACTTAAGGACCATACCACTACCCATGACCACGTTATCTTTATTTGCAACAGCTCTAAAGAATTCGAAATTTCGTAGAGAAAAATGAATTAATTTAGAAGCAATTATATTTGTTATAGAGTGTGCATCTATGGGCGAACAGTTATCCCATATTTGTAAATCATGCATGCTATACATAAGAACATTGCGTTATTAGAAACTCATCTCAGCGATTTCTCTACCGCTACTATCATAAATGTCTTTGTCACATTTAGCTTAGACTACTCAAATTCTCTTCCCCATGAGCGTCCTCAGAGAAGGTCAAACGTATGCAAACTATGTATCTCTGTTCGTGTCCTTGATCGCGCATCAGGTGACAGTCGCATCGCATCATTCTCCTACACTGGTTATCCTTAAAGATGCATTTAAAGTCAACTTTTTACCACCATAGCCGACTAAATGCCACCTCACTATTTCAAAGAGAATAAACTAAACGCCAAAGAATACCGTTTCATATCACCTGTAAATTATATTTGAACGGATATTTTCTGATTTCTTTCTGTGGTGCATATAACCAGGGCTGATAGGTAAGTCAGGTCATTTTACGGCCAAAAATTAAAAGAAGGTGCAGTATTAAAGTTTTTTTATGGCTGATCGAGTGATCAGATCGAAAACAAAACCACCTATAACACGACTGTCACCTTGCAGGGGGGGGGGAACTTCACCGCAATGGCGGATATCGAGTTTGGTAAGGGGTTGAGGAATAAAAATTGACCCTCGAAATCGAAGCACGCTTTATAAGGATCTTTAAGAGTATGTGTTCTCTTTCAAGTTTCAGCTCGTGCCAACGCTGTTTAATATGGATGCAAA